GAGCCGGAACTGAAGATCATCGACGTTTTCATCTGCAAACTGCGCAAGAAGCTCTCGGTGGCCACGGCCGGCAAGAACTATATCGAGACAGTATGGGGGCGCGGCTATGTGCTGCGCGAGCCCGACGAGAACGAGTTAGCCGAAAGCGCCTGATAGGCCCTTCCAAGTCGGACATTGAAAGCCCGTGCGATCCCCTCGCGCGGGCTTTGTTCGTCAGGTGCTCAGATCACCAGCTTGCGGTAAAGGTGCCACGTGGCATGTCCGAGCATGGGCAACGCCAAGGCTAGGCCGACAAAGAGCGGCAGCGATGCGACAAACAGCATGATGGCGACCACAAGACCGAAAATCGTCATCTGAACCGGATTGGCGACGAAGGCACGCACCGAAACAGCAATGGCTTCGCCAGCGCTGCCACCGTGATCGACAAGCAGCGGGAAGGCGATCGCGGTGGTGGCGAGCACAAAGAATGCAAAGCCAAGCCCGACCAGATTGCCCCACAACAACAGGCTCCAGCCCCGCGCGGTGGTAAAGGTCTCGTTGAACAACCCCATGAGCGTTGCGGGCGGGTTGGTGCCGAAATGGGCGTCGTAGATGGCGCTGGCCGCCGTCAGCCAGAGCGCGAAAACCACCGCCAGCATGGCACCCAGAACGACGATCGAACCGATGGCAGGATGTCTGAGCACGCCCAGGGCATGGCGGGGGCTGTCGTCCTCGCCCTGTTCACGCCGCCGACTCAGTTCGTAAAGACCAATGGCGGCGAGCGGGCCGATCAGTGCGAAGCCGGTCGCCAATGGATAAAGCAGAGGAAATGTGGCGCCGCCGGCGCTCCATACGGCCAGCACGATGCCGACGGCCGGGTAGATGAGAGCAAGAAACAGGTAATGGGACGGATGGCGCCAGAAGTCGGAAATGCCGCGGCCAAGGGCGTCGAAAACGTCACCCGTTGAAATTGTGCGGATAGTGCGTTCTGACGCATTGTCCTGGACAAGGGCGGGATTGGAATGCACGGGCATGCTTATCTCCTCGGTTCACAAGGAGCGCGGTGCCTCGCTTTTCCCCCGGGGCGCGGGCACACCGCGCTGCACGGAGCGTTACCACCACGGGTAAACGCAACAGCTCAAGCATACAGTATTTGGCAGGATTGCGGGATGCCCCGTCACATAAATTTGCGTCGGATCCGATCCGGAACATCCGCCAAAGCCCTTCAGCGGTCCTGGATTCGCTTTAATTGCCCTAAGTCCTTGTTTTATCAAGCTTCCGAACCGGCTAAGAGGTAGCGGCTTACCCTAGACGAAGGGCTGGAATTTGGACTCCAGCGTCTGCTGGTCAAAGGGCTTGAGCATGTGGTCGTTGGCACCGGCCTTGCGGGCCATGGCGATGTGACCGATGTCGCGCTCGGCAAGGCAATAGACGATCTTTGGCTTGTCGCCGCCGGTATAACCGCGCAGGGTCTTGAGAAATTCGAGACCGCTCATGATGGGCATCTGCCAGTCGAGAAGAATGACGTCGGGCATTTCCTGGGCGCATTTTTCGTATGCTTCCTGCCCGTCCTCGGCCTCGTCGACAATGAAATCCATGTCTTCGAGAATGCGCCGCGCGACTTTGCGGATGACGCTGGAATCGTCAACGATCAGGCACGATTTCATGGGTTCATCCCTCATCTTCCCAAGCGATGTGTGCCGGGGATCGGCAAGAGTTTACCGCCCCAATGGTTATCGAATGGGAAAGGCGCGCAATTTTCGCTGCCGCGCATCCATGGTTGGGCGCGCTGATCTTATTGTTCGAGGGCCTAGTCGATGGTGTGCGAAAGCGGATCGGCGGTGAAGCGCAGGATTTCGCCATCAAGGGCGAGGTTGAGCCCCATATGGGACTGGCGAGCGAGAAGACCCGTATAAAAGGGCTGGATGCCACGGGCGTCGACGCTGCCTTCCTCGGGTGTGCCGGCAAGAAGGCCCTGAACGGCATTGGGGATCAGGGTCTTGGGACCGGTCGCGGTGATGGTGAAGCTCTCGGCCCCGGGATCACCTTCCACCTCGACGGTGACCGTGCCGCCGCGCGGAACGCCGGCGACGACGATCAGCAGCATGTTGAGCAGCAGTTTGGCCTTGT